AATGCATAAAGATGCTAAAAAAGCCTACCAGGGTTGGTATATCCAAGAATCATGGATACTCTTGGAAGATTTGGTTAATGGTGGGTGAATGTTTGGATATCCAGCTTCTGTGCGATGTGAATGTTTTCTGCATTGCTGACTTGATAGATGAAATGTTTTCTGCAGAAGGCCTCAGCTTTTTCATCAGGTTGATACATTCTTTGATGTCACTATCGTCCCCTTCGTCCTGCACAGAACTTGGTCCAACATCTCTGCTTCTCTTGTGTCTCCTGTAACGCCGCTGAACTTCCTCCAGCTTACGCCGTATATTGCGAAGTCTCATCTCCAAAAACCCAGAATGTGAAGCTGGGTCATAGAGATGCTCCTGAAATTAAAGAGGGGAAAAAATAACATATCAAATCAAAGTTGATTTCGTAACGAAGTAGTGAACATTTAAGAGGATATGACGAAGCAATATACATTTTATTTTTGACCAACTAACAGCTGCTTATGTTTAGAAGTGAAATCTAGAACACACTAATCATTGTTAATCACTGTAAGTTCAGGAGAGGTATATGTAAATACAAATATTACCAATAGGCAGCCTTTACATTCATTACAATTACAGTATATATTAGTCTACTCATCAAGTTATTTGAATGAACACTCATCATTCTTATTAGACAAAGTAGATGTTGGCCCTAGCCTGTACTTTCACAAAGTCATTGAGACAAAACTGCTGTTTTCACACTAAAAACCATTAAATCAGAATTTTCAATGTTTTTCGATATTTTAGAAAAAAACGTTATACTCACAAAGCCTTCTCCATAGCCACCGACTTGGACTTTCAGCTGAGGGAATATAGTGATGAGATTCTTCGCAAGGACCACCTTTTCAGTGTTGGATGGATAACTAAGGATAAAAATGAATGACAAGTGAGCTATTTATTTATTTTTTATTTTTCAAAAAGAATACAAAAAGTTCTAGCATACAAATATTACAAATGCGTGATGATAAAGCAATTGGTTATAAAGAATGTCCTTTGTATCAAGCAAATAAAAAAAACAAATGTGCCATATTTTTATAACCAATATATCACTTAAATGCAAAAATTATATATAAACACATTTCACATACATATACTTACAACCCATGCCTCTCCACCAAGTCAGAGATGCCTGGTCTTCTCCGTAAGAATGCCATTAGTTTGCAGTTCGTCAAATACTTCTGGAATTTTCTTCTTAAGTAGATCAGTTAGGCCATTCAGAAGAACTGGTTCTTGTGTAGGCTGAACAAAACAATAAGATAAGCACAGCACAAAGTAAAGTTCTGGCCTGTGTGATTTTTTTAAACACAATTTAACAAGCATGGTAAATGTATACCTGAGTTTGACAGACTTCTCTTAGGACAGGCTGAAGATCCGGTGCTTCAGAAAAGTGCACTTGGAATCTGTCAAAGTCACTTATGTTCTCACTTCTATCAATATCTATAAACTCTTGGAAGTCTGTGTTGTATTTTAAAATCCTATCAAGGACAAATCCAAATGCACCTGTTACTTCCAGGAGATGGTTTGTGCTTTGGACACTGTAGATTTTTATTTTTATTTCCTTTCCATTCTTAAATGAAATTGCAAGGACTTTAACAGATTCCTGCTGCTCATTCCCGCTCCCTGTAATTATAAGAAAAAGACAAATGCCATGCCTCATTTCGCTCTATGTGCTGTTTGCTGTCTACGGGGCTGATTCTGCTGACCACGCCCCCCTGCAGGAGAGGGGAGACGTGCTCTGATCAGCTGCTGGGCTGTCAGAAGAGGGGGAGAAAAAGAGATCTCCGTGTTTTATTATATAGAGTCGTTATTCATTTGTTTTAAAGCTCAATAAATAACAAAGAAGACCTTTGACCGGCACTTTTCTAATTTTGTCCGGAAGATTTAAACTTTAACGGACATCTTGACCGGCGAAACAAACTGAAACTGAAACTCTGCCGCACGGTCCCCTGGTTCCTTGGAAGAGGCGGAGAGGTGGGTGTTTGTCATCTGCTGGTGGACTAACCGGAGAGAATTACAGTGCTTGCCTCGACGGGGAGGGATTGCATTGAATTAAAGCAGCGGGAGCAAACGCTTGCCTCGGGGAGGGAGAAAGAAAGCCACAGCGGAGAATAAACAGAAGGGTAACCATGGTAACCAAGTCTTCTTCGCTGCTTTTGTGGCAGACTACAGCGCCACTTACAGGCCTGGCATATGTACTACAGCGTCTCCAGCGCTTTCGAACAGCAATGGCCGTGGTTGTCTCCTCCTGATTGGTGGAGTTGGCCCAATAGCCGTAGCGCCACCGTCCTGACGTCAGGACAGTGTTCAAATCTGGATCAGTTTTTATCAGATCCGTTGCAGCCCCTTTTTTAGAGATTTGGGTATGGAGGAAAATAGAGAGGGTTGTGTTTTCTGACACTTGGTGAGTTCCCTGGAACACCAGGGACACATATTCATGTATAAAAGACGTACAAAAGTGCATTTTGCATGATCGGTCCCCTTTAAGTTAATTAACTTCACCCATAAAGACAACTTCTAGAGAAGCACAGGGGAGATTCTGCTCAGATCCTGTGGCGTTTTCTCCTGGAGGCTGGGTATTTCTTTATATTTTTTATTTGTATTAAAAAACATCTCTCCGCTGTTGTCAGTGAGTATTTTACAAAGACTGAAACAGCGCCCCTCTTAATTAATCTGTGGTGAAACACAGTATTGCACGCTACACTCACTATACTACAACCGCAGTGTGCTGTGCAGGGACATGTCAAGGAAAGCCCGCCGGCCTTCCCTTCCAACGATTTGATTGGTCGGAAGGAAAGCCCGCCGGCCCTTCCCTTCCGACCAATCAAATCGTCGGAAGGGAAGGCCTGACGTGCCGTGCGTGACGCTGCGTCAACTGCCGTAGCGACAAGAGGCAGATATGAAATCTCCCTTCTACACAATATAATATTTGCAAGTATAGAGTAGTGGCTGATGTTCAGAAACAGGTCAACTGTAGAGTACACTTACTACTAATAAATAACTTTAGTGCCGAGTTACTTATTTGCACTGTAAGAGACTGTATATTAAGGCAGCCTCTGTCGATCTTCTCACTCTCACTTTCCCGCCACATCTGGCCACACAATGAAACCTAGCCAAAGTAGCTAGATAGCATTAAACATATAGCTGCTAATGCTATCAATATAATGCCGATTGAAGAATGATGGTCACAGAAAAGAGTGTAAGCTAAATTAAGTTAAAATAAAAATAAATATAATTAAAAAAGAAGATGGGCCTAAAGGAAAATAATTGTCATCCAGGCAGCTAAACTCAAACAATAATTAGCTGTTCAACATTGGCAAAACATATTTATTTAAGTTAAAAAATATTTATTTAGACCCCTAGCTTGCTCACATTATGACAATATATCTGCTCACTTTGTTAAAAACGTTTTGTTTCTGTAATAACTTACTTAGTGTTAGACTCTCCTCCGCTGACACATCCATCCTCCACAGCAGCCAGAGGTGAAAAGGGCAGTTTGGATATTTGATGGACAGTTGGACAGTTGAAAAATGATACATTTGAAATAACTCAACCGTGATTGGGCAGGACAGTGGACACACTAATGTGTTGATTTTGTGCATTTTTATTTTACACATATGTGTGTAAAATGCTTCAGAAATGACACTGAATGTGTTGAATTGCCTTTGACACAGCAGTGTGTTAAAAAAATGACACATTACTTCTAAGACAGACACAGAAATACAAATATATTAATGTAAGTGAAAATAAATGTAGACATACATTTGAGATATATAATAATGTGTATTCTGTTTAATTCTCAACTTTTCTTTTTGTATTTAATTATTCCTGTATTTATTTATTTTTCTTTTCTTTTTTGTATTCCTGTATTTATTCCTGTTTTTATGCATTAAATTATTTGTTACTTATGTCATGTTCTGTCCTCCCTACCTGTGTGCTCGCTGTGTACAAAAAGGTACAAATTCACTCCAAATCACATCACAGCAAGACCTATAGATGGGCGTTCATGATTTAAAACACATCGGTGGTCCAGAGGTTAATGCATTGGTTTTTCATACAGGTGCTCGAGGTTAATAATAATACATTATATTTATATAGCGCTTTTCTGGAACTCAAAGACGCTTAAATCTGGAGAAATTGTCCCCACCACTTTTTCTAACAAAGTGGTGTTTGTTGTAAAAGGATCAGATGTTATCTCTTCTCTGTAGGCTGTTCTGTAGGATAATACTTTAAGTGTGAATCTATAGATAGATAGATAGATAGAATTGGAGGGATGAGACCCTCTCTAATGGTCACACATGCAGAGCACACAGCACACAGTGACATGTGTTCTCTGCTTTTAACCCATCCTAGAACCAGGAGTCTAGCACTAGGAGCAGTGGGCAGCTATTGTACAGCGCCCGGGGAGCAATGGGAGTGAGCGGGGAAGGGGGGTGTCCAGTGCCTTGCTCAAGGGCACCACGGCAGGGCAGGAGGTGAACTGGGACCTCTCCAAGTAGCAGTCCACACTCCATATTTAGGTCTGGTCGGGGACTTGAACCGACGACCCTACGGCTCCCAGTCCAAGCCCCTACTGACTGAATCTGCTTTATGGTTTCCACTTTCTTTGCTTCATTTGTTCTGTTTTTAATTCAGCAGGTGAACCTATATGTTCATAAAATACTGTGTGTGATCTTAACTGTGTGTATTAAACTAAAACTGAGCATTTTCTGTCAGCTCAGATTTTATAAAATGCCTTTCGAAATTCTAAAACCTATATTGACCTTGTTCTTTAACTTCTGTCACTTATAGGTACTGAAACAGCAGCCCAACGAATATACCACAACCTGTATCAAGTCTGAATTTGATAAGATCAAATATGAAAGGGCACAGTATCTTGACAGGTTTATAAATTAATCTAGTTTAATCGAAGTCATGCTAAAACTACCACTAGTCAAATGTCACATGGCAGGCTAACAACAGAATCAGGAGAACGTGTGAATCGGACATATTGTGTTTTATTACATTTCTTCACAAAATGCTGTATGATAAAAAACATACAACTCTAAATATTTACAAACAGTGCCAAAATACATAATACTCTTGCCATCAATGTTGGTACAGCATCCATTGTGTTGAAATGACATGCAAACAGTCAGTCACCTCGAGGAACTGCAGTCACTTTTCACTCTGAAGTCCTCACTTTGATTTGAGATGCTTATCATAAATCTACACACATGCTAAACTGATTTGTACAACAAGACAATGTTTACTTAACATTTTTCAACATGAACCCCCCCCCCCATCTCATTTCTGAACAAGCCGTCTGAATATCCTCCATATTCAATTTTTTACAAACAATACTTAATATACGGCCTGACCTGAGTCATTGTACTGTTCACAACTTTAAAAAACTGTTCAATTACACACACATTATGTAAAAAACATGTCTTCTCAGTGATAGCTAAAGTATGTAGCCGTGATTTTTCCATTTTCCATTCATTGTTCTTTCTTAAGTGACCGTATGTGATTCATGACTTGTTTTTTAAAGCCTTTGGTGTTTGTGAGATTAAATATAAAAGCACCATTCTCTCTCTCAAGTTAGAGCTATATATTATCAGTGTTTTGATTGTTAGGGACAGAAAATAGAGTACACATGACACTATTACAACATTACAGGGAAAAACAACAACAACAACAGCAGCAGCAGTGTGTGCATGTTGGTTTGAAGACGTCTCAGGACAGAATAAGAGCCCGGTTGGTGGAGTGAGATTTTAACGAGCGGAGGTAACATCTCGCTTTCTCCGTCATGAAGAGCTGGTCTTTAGTTTTCCCACAAACCACCGTCTCCCATTCTTTAGACATCTGGAACGAGAGGGGAAGAGCTGTGTTAAAATGGCTTCCATTAACACATTCATTAAAACAGGTATCCCAAAAACAAACATATATTGTTCCTCTTTCCTTCTGCTATTTATTATTTATTATTGCTTTGGTGTGAGTCGCTGAGTTTTGGAGGTTTTCTGCCAGTCTCTCTAACGGTACGTCCACACGGCAGCGTCGCATTGTAGCTTGCCGGTGGGTGTGTCTGGAGCGCGACCAACAACCAATCACAACAGACACACAAGCACGCGATTTGATTGGCTAGCGTTTGTACTGGCATATGATTTGATTGGCTGACGCTTCCGTCGAAGCTTCAAAAGTTGAACTTTTCTCAACTTTCGAAGCGAGCAACGCGGAGCGACGCGACGGGACCACAATGCAGTTCGGCAAAGCGTGACGCCACCTCATTCAAAGTGAATGGGAAGCGTCTCCGTTGAAGCACGCTGCCGTGTGGACGGGCCGTAACATGATTGCTCTAATAAATAACAATAAGAAGAAGAAGAAGTACTATATTGATCCCAATTTGGGAAATGTTTGCGTTGCAGCAGCATAAAGACATGGCATTGTACATTAGAGAAACTAAAATACTACAAATAAACAATCCAACGTGTAAACATCTCAAATAGAAATAAAATAGCATTAAAAAAAAAGTAGAACAAATGTACATACACAACAGAATATATTGCCTTTTCTCACTTTTGCTCCAAAATATATTTAATTTCAGAAGTCATAACCCAGATTACACGGAGAACCATGCAGAAGCTTTTATTAGAGACAGGTAGGGCCGTGATGGGACACAGGTCACCTTGTCAAAAAGCAGATGTCTGATTGTTGGAAAGAGAGAAAGTAAAACTCCTGTCCTCTTATCTCGTGACTAATGTGTTAACAGGCAGCCGTTTGATTTACGTTGTTTGTTTGATTTGGTTTAATTGCTACAGGCATGGAGAGGAAACAATAATAATAATAATACACTTTATTTATATAGCACCTTTCATGCTTCACGCAGCCCAAAGTGCTTTACAGAGTATGACAGAAAATGACAATAATAATAATATATAAGTTATATCCCTGAACCATAAAACATTAAAAGTGATACTACTGTAAACAATTGCCCCAAATGATAAGCCAAATTACTTTTAAAAATTACAATTGAGGTTGCCGTTCTAAGATCAAATGGGATTTCTTGTAATGCACTCTTGGTACTTCTAAAAGTAAAACATTGGAGGATCTGAGTGTCCTTGCTGGTTGATAACATGAGAGACAGCCACTTAAATATGCTAGGGCAAGGTTATATAAAGCCTTGTTAATCATTAAAAGCTCTTTAAAATCAATTCTGAAAGAAGACTAACAGATATCAGTCCGTCACTTTTTCGTGGACAGATGACCTTTTCATGATTTTTGTTTTAGGAGCTGAACTCATGGCACACCAGATAGTGAATGAGCAGCATGAAATCAGTCACTTACTGGAGCTGGAGGCACGTTGCTGGGGAATATGTCGCTGTCACTGGGTCCCATCAAGAAGCCCTGATCCAAAATACTGTCCTGCTGCTTGCTGCAGAACGACGAGGAGCTGAGAGAAACTATCATGGGTTCTTCCTGTGGGCGGCGGAGGAGGAGGAAAATTAGGTTGAGTCAAATCTACAAACAAGACTTTAAAGGTCCCCTATTATACTATTTTTCATCAATATATTACAGGTCTCAGATATATACAGAGCCTGTCTCTGATTGGCTGAAACACCAAACAGATCATTGCAGCATTACCCATAATCCCCTCTGTTTCAGCCCTGTTTCCAAAGTGCTGATTCTCTGTCTGTTACTTTAGATGAAAATAAGGAGCCCCTCCCCACGCCCCTCTGAGAGAGATTTGGTTACAAAGAACTCAATGGTGCTCTAGGAGGAGATGCAGGTGATAAGGGGGGGGGGGTTACCTTGGTTGCTGATTGGCTAATGGTTACACAAGACAACACATCGTTATGACATCATAAAGTGGCCAAAATCTGATCAGCTCATTTTCAGACAGGTTTTTATATAAATGGATCAGGACAAAAAGAGAGAGAATCTTTGTTCCTGAAACTTTCAGAGTCTCTTTCCACAGAGGGGACACATGTTGATGAAGAAGAGACATGAAGAAGAGGGGACACATGTTGATGTAGAAGAGACATGAAGAAGAGGGGACACATGTTGATGTAGAAGAGACATGAAGAAGAGGGGACACATGGTGATGAAGAAGAGACATGAAGAAGAGGGGACACATGTTGATGTAGAAGAGACATGAAGAAGAGGGGACACATGGTGATGTAGAAGAGACATGAAGAAGAGGGGACACATGTTGATGTAGAAGAGACATGAAGAAGAGGGGACACATGTTGATGTAGAAGAGACATGAAGAAGAGGGGACACATGTTGATGTAGAAGAGACATGAAGAAGAAGGGACACATGTTGATGTAGAAGAGACATGAAGAAGAGGGGACACATGTTGATGTAGAAGAGACATGAAGAAGAGGGGACACATGTTGATGTAGAAGAGACATGAAGAAGAGGGGACACATGTTGATGTAGAAGAGACATGAAGAAGAGGGGACACATGTTGATGTAGAAGAGACATGAAGAAGAGGGGACACATGCTGATGAAGAAGAGACATGAAGAAGAGGGGACACATGTTGATGTAGAAGAGACATGAAGAAGAGGGGACACATGTTGATGAAGAAGAGACATGAAGAAGAGGGGACACATGTTGATGTAGAAGAGACATGAAGAAGAGGGGACACATGTTGATGTAGAAGAGACATGAAGAAGAGGGGACACATGTTGATGTAGAAGAGACATGAAGAAGAGGGGACACATGTTGATGTAGAAGAGACATGAAGAAGAGGGGACACATGTTGATGTAGAAGAGACTTGAAGAAGAGGGGACACATGTTGATGTAGAAGAGACATGAAGAAGAGGGGACACATGTTGATGTAGAAGAGACATGAAGAAGAGGGGACACATGTTGATGTAGAAGAGACATGAAGAAGAGGGGACACATGTTGATGTAGAAGAGACATGGAGAAGAGGGGACACATGTTGATGAAGAAGAGACATGGGGAAGAGGGGACACATGTTGATGTAGAAGAGACATGAAGAAGTGGATTTTGCATAATAGGTGACCTTTAGAAAATGTAGATTTTCTTTTGTACCTTGATGTTGTGTCTGGCTTCCAGTTTGATGGCCTTTCGTTTCGACACATGGCAGTCGACCACATCGAGAGCGAGGGATTTCCTCACTTTCTTCATAGGAGCCCGATGCTGGAAGGAAACAAACAAACAAACATCTGTGTAAATAACTTCAACAATAAGTAAACAAATGATATCAGAGGAAAATAGACGTGATAACAAAAGGTCCAGGCACACACAGAAGGACACTAGTGCATGAAAAACATTACTTCAGATTATTTTACGCAGATTTTTCTTTTTTTGGATCTTCTACCATGTGTGGATTTTGTGTGTTATTAAACTGTCGGATTAATGTTAATGTAGGTTTTACAAACTTAATTGTGTTATCCTATACATCCATAAACTTTAGTATTTAGAGTATAATATAACAATATACACTTGATAGAGAACACATAGTAAATACATAAACACAGTATATATGGGTAAAGACACTATAAACAATGATATCGCTTTATTTGTAATATTGTTTTAATATTCATGGTATCAAAACTAACGTAGCCTAATTTGCTGTGACTTATTTTGTATATTTATTATTATTATTGAATTGTTTTGCATTTATTTTAAGAAAGCTGTGTCTGGTTGACCGGGAGAAGACTGTCACGCAGAAACACACATCACTTTATTTTTGTTGTATTATTATTTTAATTTGTATTCTATTTTATCTTTACCTTGTGTGACTCATTCTGACACTGCTATAAACGCCTGCATTTCCCCAAGGGGATAAATAAAGTTCCATCTTATCTTATACACATAAATCATAACAGATATTAAGACAACGACGACACCCAGACACCACAACGCACAGAGTACAGCAGCATTGAGCTTTCTGTGTTGACCGTACATTGAGGAAGACAAAACATGCAACACACACGTGGCTGCTACATGCATGCAACACACCCACACACACTGCTGCTACATTGCTGCAACACACACACGCGGCTGCTACATTGCTGCAACACACACACAGACACGCGGCTGCTACATGCATGCAACACACACACATGCGGCTGATACATGCATGCAACACACACACAGACACGCGGCTGCTACATGCATGCAACACACACACATGCGGCTGATACATGCATGCAACACACACACAGACACGCGGCTGCTACATGCATGCAACACACACACATGCGGCTGATACATGCATGCAACACACACACAGACACGCGGCTGCTACATGCATGCAACACACACACATGCGGCTGATACATGCATGCAACACACACACATGGCTGCTACATGCATGCAACACACACGTGGCTGCTACATGCATGCAACACACACACACATGCGGCTGATACATGCATGCAACACACACACGTGGCTGCTACATGCATGCAACACACACACATGCGGCTGCTACATGCATGCAACACACACGGCTGCTACATGCATGCAACACACACACACGTGGCTGCTACATGCATGCAACACACACGGCTGCTACATGCATGCAACACACACAGACACACGGCTGCTACATGCATGCCACACACACGCGACTGCTACATGCATGCAACACACGGCTGCTACATGCATGCAACACACACACACACGCGGCTGCTACATGCATGCAACACACACGCTCTGCTACATGCATGCAACACACGCGGCTGCTACATGCATGCAACACACACACGGCTGCTACATGCATGCAACACAGTCACGCAGCTGCTACATGCATGCAACACACATACATGTGGCTGCTACATGCATGCAACACAGACATACACGTGGCTGCTACATGCATGCAACACAGACATACACGTGGCTGCTACATGCATGCAACACACACACGGCTGCTACATGCATGCAACACAGACACGCGGCTGCTACATGCATGCAACACACACATACACGTGGCTGCTACATGCATGCAACACACACACACGTGGCTGCTACATGCATGCAACACACACACACGCGGCTGCTACATGCATGCAACACACACACACACGTGGCTGCTACATGCATGCAACACACACACACGCGGCTGCTACATGCATGCAACACACACACGGCGGAGATGTCAGAGAGAACTAAGCGCTGCAAGGTGTGGTTAAACTTTACCCGTCTCGATGTGGACAATGCTCGTTACCTAAAGTGCCATAAGAGTTTAGCATGTCAGGGCGGTAACACGAGCAATTTGTCTAAACATTTATCAAAAGTGCTCCACATTCAGACGGAGAAATGCACCGGGTTCGACTGTCTTTCTAGTAGCTCTGTAGCCCCATCCACGAGTAACGTTTCCACGTCAGGTATTGTGTATGCCTCAATCTTCCTCCAGAAGGACCGTTAGGCGCTTTGCAGCATACCTGTCTGCCCCTCCTGTGTTGCTCTGTACAACTGTATTTATGCAGTAAATACTTGTTTTTTACAGTTCTGCAAGTTCACATTATTTACAATTTGTTTAGTTAACTTCAATTTTTTTTCTCTCCAAAAGAACCGATAAGAGTATCGTTAAAGCACCGGATCGATAAGCGGTATCGATAAAAGTAGTAGTACCGTTAAAACCTTAACGATACCCATCCCGAGCGCTGTCTATTGTCCGTTTATACCTTCTTTATTCTAATGGATCTCCACTTACCTGGCCTGCTCACTTGTTGCATTTTGATTATCGGGGGTCATTTTTCAACGACAACAACCATAAGCCACCAAAAACAGACATTGTCTACTGTACAATATCACTTTTTTTATTTATTTATCATCCATGATTGGAAATATTGAGTGGACTTCGGGTCGTACTGTTGGAATACGTTTCTCAAATGTTCTCACATCCCCCTGGCTCTATCTGATCTAGCAGAATTATGCATAAATGTTTTGGTACACGGGTTAAAATAGGTGTAAAGTATTAAAGCAGATTTAGCTACCATTGTTTTGCGTCTTTGCTCAGGAGGAGTGGATCTCAAGGACACAAAGTCGATCCCAGCGTCTCTCAGGATCACTTCGTTTATGTCGTCTTCCAGGTTGGGAGTCTGAGGCTGAGATGGCAGAAAGATAAGAGTTAATAATAAACCCATAAAAGGTGAACTGGATGTGTATTCCCTCTCGGTCACAGATACTCACCAGAGGCTGCAGAGGCCCGTATTTCTCCATGGCGTTTTTGAACGGCGTCGGAGTTCGTGGGGTCGTATACAGATCCAACTTGTGGTTGGGTGTCACAAATCTACAGGGAAACAAGACAACACAGAATTTAGAGCAGTCTTAATGCAATTCCTCTATCAAATCTTACTAGGCATACATTTCAATATATACAAAATAACAGTCACTTCAATATCTTTGATAATTAGTGCAAAACTATGGACAGTCTTGCACTAATGTACATTTCTCAAAGATATTGCAGTGACTGTTATTAATGTATATATTGATTGTTGTGCTTTTATTTAGGTCTGAATGTGTGCATATGTATACATGTGTCTGTTGATTGTGTATATATAGGATATACAGATTTTTATATATATTTGTTTTTGTATTCGGGATTGTGGGAAACGGTATTTCGATCTCTGTCTGTACACACAAACTGAAATATTGACAATAAAGTTTACTTTGATTTTCCACATATAATGACTAAAGGCTCAAATATCTTTAACTAAAAGCTGTCTATACCCATTAAATGGCTTAGGCTGTAGCTTACTGTACATGACGACTGTTCTGGCTCCGCCAACTATGTTGTGTGTTATAGTGACCCCTTCTGGTTACTTCCCGTACTGCACGAAGCAGTTATTTTTAGTTCCCATGTGACAGGAAGTTAGCCCGAGACATTTCAGAATAGCACGTGTGCTCCAGCTAAGGTGATGTCCGTTTATCCTGTGCCATCCATTGTTCATACCCTTGAGAAGGCATTTCCTGTAAGTTTTGATGTTTCTACATTATATATCTTTACCTTGAGTGCATTATTGTGATCATTGATCCCAGCTGACATTCTGTAGTTGCTGTATATGCAATATAGCCTAAACATTGCATCTGTACTTTGGCACTGACCTAATTTCATGCCGTCTTGGATATCTATCTACGTATATGTAATTATTATGTCATGTAGTTGATATTTACAATTGCTCTTGTTTCTGTATTCTTTCAGTTTCACACTGCTTGCTTAGTAAAGCTTCTAAACATCACCTCGTGGTCCTGAGTTTTACTGTGTGAGAGTGTTTATCTCGCTGGTTAACCGAGAAGGAGATTTCGACGAGGCCAGTATAACGACAGTACAAATACAAAAGGTATATTTTGATAAGATTCAACTCATTGCATATGAGCTGAAAAGAAAACTTTGATAATATTCCACCTGGACCATAATCCCCATGGTTTTGTGTCTAGTGACCAACAGGGAAAGGAACTTTTGAAATTGGTCCAAAAATGAAGAAGGAGAAAATATTGTCTTCTCGTGGGTCAAGACTTGGGATGTTCTTTCCATGATGCTGCCAGACACTTATAATATCACCAATAGGCGCTTTCACACCGGAGTACTTTTCCCGCTTAGTTCCGATAGTTCCTGGGATTTTGCGTTCACACCAAAAAGAGAACTTAGTTCATGAGAACTTTCCCCCTTTTCAGTCCCTGCTAGAGAGGTGGTACTTTCCTGGGGAGAAAAAAGTTCCAATTTCTATTGGCTGGGCGAATTGCAAACCACGCCCCGTAAAACTCAGAAAAGTTTTTTGAAGCCGCCATTGTATTTGCTGGCATTAGCATTATTAGCTTTAGCATTAGCCCCGCGCACCAACGGAGAGAGACTAACTTATGGCAACACAAAAAAACACATGGGAGCGGTGGAGTGATGAGTGCCTTCCGGGATAATAAGATTTCTCTTTAACTAAGCCGTGTATTTTGCCTGAAACTGCAGCTATTGTAACCCCTTGCTGGTTAGAGAGCACTCACACTGAGTTCTCCTTCTGGGTGAGGGGGGTCTTGTCTCTCTGCAGAGGGGTGGAGACGAGGGGCCTCTGGCTGCACACGGGCGTGGATGTGAGCGACGGATTCTCCAGGTCGTGAGTGTCCTGCTTGGTCCACATGTTGAGGAACTGGAACAACACGGGATAACGATTAACGGACCGTCTCATGAGCGTGGAGGCAATTCTAATTCCCTTAAGAGAAACTGATAAATGATTTATGGACAAAGTTTGTTATATTTAATAAAGTAATAAAGAAAGTCTATATACAATTGAAATCGATCTGAAATGCAGGAACAGAGCAACTTCGTCCTCAAAAGATCAAAATGCTTACAGTCACATCATAGAGTACAGAAAACATCTAACTGGTCCCACTCATCAATTCTCCAATTCTCATTATCTAAACATCCCCACCATTAAACCAAACCCCTCCCCCCCCGTCCATAACCTCATGCAAATCCACCTTTTGCCCTTCCTGAAATGTAAATCCTAAACTATTTATAGTCTATTTTATTGTATTTACTTGCACTATTGTATCTGTTTTATTGTGTAGCCCTGTTGGAGGAGCCTGTGACCTAAGATTGTCATTGCTATATCTACACTGTAGCTACGTACGCATGACAATAAAAGCCTTGAATCTTGAAATAAAACATAATCTATATATATGATTTGAATGATTAAATGAAAATGTGTCACGACAATGAGCAGCAACAGAACGTTTATTCTAGCGGATCCAATGCCTCACCTGAGAGGGAGAGAAGGCCAGGATTTTGACAGGAGTGCTTTTGGGAGTCATGGAGTTGTTCCCGTCGGGGGACGAGGCGATGCGTCTGCGGCTCCTGTGGGTCAGGATGGAGGGCGGGGTCACCCCCCCCGGAGAGATGGGGATCAGCTCCCCTTTGCTGTTCTTACTCAGCTCCTGCAAGGCGCTGCCCTCCAGGCGAAACTGGTGCCGCTCGGGACTCGGACTGTCCACCGGGAGGTCGAAGGCTTCCAGGTTACACCAGCCGTCGATATCCTGAGAGAAGAGCGGACATTTCTACACGTTAGTTTGACTTCTAGTCACTATTCATCCTCAAATGGCTATAGAGTGGTGCAGGGATGATGTATTCTTGTAGGGCGACCAGGCAGGAAGCTGCTGGTTCCCTCGACAAAAAGCAATGGGATTTCTCCATAGGATTTTGGAAAATAGCTCGAAATAATGTCTGTGGAAAACGAACCTGTTTGATAAATGCACGTTTTGTTCAGCCGGATAATCTCTACATGTCTACCCTACTTTTATCATTTCCTAATCATAAATCTAATCGCCAGAAGCAAAATGCTAACATTATGCTATAAAGGAACTACAGCCGAGTACAGCAGGGTCGCACGACTTCAACGCCACGCCAACTTCAGATCCATATTCAAACACACAGATTCTAAATGGTACAAGTTGAAGCGTTTGTTTGAACACTTTGCAGGAGGCAGGTACTTGCTTTCAAGCAGAACAGGGGGAAAAACAAACTTAGCGGGAGTGTTTACGTGTTCGGCGTAATGACGTACAACGTCCTCCACAACTTCTGTAGTCCTATTCAGTCACTTGGTAACAACCATCGTTTTTCAGACACGTAAACTCTTCAGAAATCACCAGTGGATCACTGCTGATGGATTTAACTTCTTAAGCCCTGAGCCTGTTTTTCAGGTCTCAGGCTCGAAAATGACATTCCCAGAACAAATGACCATATCTTCCCTTCTAAAAGGGTTAAATTAATAATCTTTTTTCTCAAAGTAATGATAAACCTGTGAGTTGGATGTAGAAAAGTCAGAATATAGATGTTTTTTATTTTGTTTTTTTTAAAGAAAATTCAGATTTTACATAGTAAAAAACTGTAAATTATAGTGTCCGTCCAAAATTATTTTTTACTTATAGTGAAAACTACCCTTGGATGATGGGTTAGTAGACTAAAAGCTTTAGGAATCCAAAGTACAACATATAATAAGTACCCTGTATCAAGATTGATGCAAAACAAGTGACATTTGACCTTTTTAGAGAGATTTAGCCAAAAACCCCCACTTCTGGGGTCATTTGGGTGGATTTGACCTATCTCTGGCCCCCCTTGCTCGATTTTGATGAATGAAATCTCTTTATAACCGCTAGAGCCAATGGAATCGAGGGAAAGTTATATACACACCAAAACGTTAACAAATAAGGAGTGAGAGTGACGCGTTAATGTCGTAGAACAAAACGTGATCCGTCTCTTCAATGCGTCTCAACCACAGACCTTATTTCAGCTATTTTCCAAAATCCTATGCAGAAATCCCATTGGCTCTGAGACGAGGGTACAGGAAGTGGTAAAATGCTGACTCACTTCCTGGTTTTAGGACTTGTCACTGCACCACTCTATGGGTGTTTCTCAATCGCGAGTACGCTTGCTTGGTAGCACATGTCTGCCGAGCATCTTGCTTCAGAAGCGAGTCAAGAATACTTCCTGGCATTCGGAAAACAAAGAGTGGAACAGGCTAGCAAGTGTGCAGGTGTGCGTCATATGAGAGGCCCCGCCTTACATCTTCCGCCACAGATTTGGGGAAATTGGTCCGTGCGCAAAGCATTGTGGGGATTTTAAGACCGCGGAGTCTACTCATGTGCAGCCTCGATATTTCTCCAAACGGAGTACGCCGGGCTCGGTAGATTTCCAAGTATGCTGGAGATTGGAACAGTACTTCGGCGGCACTCGATGGCGTAGTATGCTTGAAATAGTGGCTCTGCAGCAGCTTTACTCGCGATTGAGAAACACCCAGTGTGTACTAGCGCACTATTCAAATAGCAGGAAGAGCAATATTTGGTAAAGGTTGGATATGTGTTCAAATATAATTCTCTGAGCTGCATAGAAATCTCAGCCTACAGGAAGATGGGACATTTGTACTTGTTAGTTTGACTAACCCTTTTACAAACATTTGAGTAGTGATGCTTGACAATTTGGTAAAAAATAACACATTTTGATTATTTTAAAAACACAATATTAGAGGGACAGAATCGTATGCGGTTTGTCTTTTTGGAAACTCACCCCGTCCACCATGTCCAGCACCTCCTTCAGGACGGGTCCGGTGGGAGACAGGAAGCCGGAGCTGTCCACCACCCAGCTGGTGCTGATCTCTCCTGGACTCTGAGCTTCGCTCTTAGGACTCAGACTCTGGCTCGGAGACGACGGAGAAATCGCTGGTCCTGCTGCTGTGGAGACGACTTTAACACAGACGGGCGTTTCCTGCAATAAAGGTAAACGTCTTTTTTAGAGGGACATTGAGACATGACAACAGTCGTCTATGACAGACTTTGGATAAAAGCGGGTTCATGTAATGTATTTGTTTGCCAGGATATCCCAAAAGTGCTTCATTCAAAATTGTATTTTAACACATATATAGCCGTTAACTTAATTAGAAATGAAATGCTGCACTCATCCATATTGCTATTTGGATTAATTGTGCTGCTCTATTGGGATAAACTTAAGAAAACTGATGTTAAAGTTCTGTGTGTGAACGTTTTTTACATGTATGTAAGTTGCTTTGGATACAAGCGTCTAACAAGTGACATTGAGACATGACAACAGTAGTAATAATAATAATACATTTAATTGATATAGCGCTTCTCATCTGCCAAGACAAATCTCGAAGCGCTTCTCGAAGTAGTCTAAGACAGACAGTCTAACCACCCATCCTTCTATTTAAAGGTCACCTATCATGCTATTTGTAGGCAATAGCATAGGTCTCAGATATATAAAAAATATATAAAAAACATGTCTATGAAGTGTTTTGCTCAAAACACCAAACAGATCACCCATTCTAGCCATGCCTCATATCCCTCTATTTCACTTCCTGTTTCAAAAGTGCTGATTTTGATAAAAAATTGATAAAAAATAAAAAAGGAGAGGGCTGAGCTCATGCGGACAGGCAGCTACTGTCTAAACCAGTGGTTCTCAAATGGGGGTACGCGAACCCCTAGGGGTACGTTGGAGTACTGCAGGGGGGTGAGAATTTATTTTATGTTAATGAAAAAAAAATAAAAATGGTTTTAAACAAACTACTAATAGTAGATGAACTACTTTATTCAAAAGTTTACAGTAATTCTGGATAATAAAATAAACGGGGTGCTCTCTTTTCCTCTCTCCTGAAAGCCCGTCAGTCTCGTGCAGCTCGCTGAACCTGTAACAAGTGACCGACAGTAAAGAATAAATATATGTATAACTAGTATAGCTTGTTCCAGAGTAGATAAACTAGCTAAGTGTGTTAGGTCTAACTCTTAGTGTATTTTGCTTCGCTCACCGGTCCGTCACAGCGGCGGAGCTTTGATCCGGAAGAGCTGCGTGTTCTCCGTCAGGAGATCTGTGCCGTTTCTCAATGTCGAGTAAACCTGCTGCAGAGCCACTATTTCAAGTATACTACGTCATCGAGTGGCCCCGAAGTACTGTTTAAATGCATGTTAAATGCCCAGCATTCGGCGCCACTCGATGACGTAGTACACTTGAAATAGTGGCTCTGCAGCAGGTATACTCGACATTGAGAAACGGCCCTGATCTGATCTCTCTCTCTCTCTCGTCCGGTTATACTTCACTCGCGTTTATGTCCACATCTATCAGATCTAGCTAGTTCTAGTTAATTATATGACTGCCTGCTTTTCAAAGGACCTTAACAATAAGCGTTGCTTGGCAACGGCGTTTGGCCGCAGTATATGCATTATGCACATGTTTATGAGGGGTCAAAATCCCATGCTCATAAAATGCTCATATATTTTTTTCTCTTCATTCCCCACGCCCCAAAATAAATAAATAAATAAATAAATATACACATTTTTAGGAAAAGTAAGGAAGTTTTAGCAGTGTAGGTTTTATATTAACAGAGTTACACATATTTGAAAACGCGAAGTGTAATAATTGCAGTTGCCTTCCTGTCACCGAGAATGACAAAGATCCTCAGTGAAGCACAAGCCCATGTTTAAATTTTAAGTACAACTTATTAAAAAGATCAGTTCAATGCAACTAATGTCGTCTTGCATGATGTTAAAATTGGTTTGCCAGGAATTTAGTGATGGATTGTAAACATTTGAAATGTAGCATTTAAGTGTTTCTCAGTTACAATGTTGTTGTTTTAATAAATCAGACACTGATGGTGCAGCGCTGTACTGTCCCTCTTTATATAGGCTTTTTGTCCCTAACAAATAGTTGTTGCGCTGATCAGGGGGTACTTGGCTGACATTCTTTTTTCAAAGGGGGTACATTATTGAAAAAAGTTTGAGAACCACTGGTCTAAACTAAATACTGCCGTGATGAAACGCCATATCATGGATTATCAAGGATCATTTCTGAAACAGTATGGAGCTCAAAGGCTTTCTCTCTTGCCGGTTATACCACAAGGTGAGTTCCTTTTTATTTCCTGCTTCTTCACACACATGCTCTCCAGTGCAGGTTAGCTCTGAGTGTTAGCGATGCTAATGTAAACACCGACCATATTACGTCCAAAACAGTCGGGCATTGTTTCTGATAGCAACGTTTCTGATTGGGCCGTGGGTCCACATTTCAGATATTATGTCATATCGGACGCAAATCTGGATCAGCTCCGTTGTTCCCCCGTTTTTCGAGATTTGGGTACGGAGGAAAAGAGAGAGGGTTTTATTTTCTGACGCTGCGTCAGTTCCCTGACACCCCGGGGACACATATTTATGTATAAAAGACATCAACAAGTGCATTTTGCATGATAGGTACCCTTTAAAGGTGGGGTAGGTACGTTTGAGAAACCGGCTCGAGATACACTTTTTGTTATATTCCATGGAATGCTCTTAACATCCCGATAGCAATGAATATCTTAAGTGCTTTGACAAAAAATCCGTAAAAGAATTTCATCTGTGGAAGCTGTAGTACTGTAAAAAGCACGACCAATCATTTGAGCCGGCCCGGCTAAAATAACTGGATGGCCTACCTGCCTGTCAGCCTTCCATCTGTGCACAAACTTATCTCGTGCCCTCATTGGTCATGTGCGCGTTCGTGTGTGTTGGAGGAGGGGCTCTGTAAGGAAGTGGCAGATTTTCTCCGGCTGTGTATTTTCAAATTTTAGCGATCTCGATCTGGTTTCTCCAAAATGACCTACCCCACCTTTAAGTAACAATATTTTCAAATAGATTTTAGTTTGCTTACTGAAGGTTGCGTTCTCTGCTCAGACTCCTTTTCTGGACCGTCTTGGGAACAACTGAGCACCTGTGTGATAAGAGAGAGAATTAGAAATACTGTTCCATGAATTAAATAATGCATCTTTCAAAGCTACTCAATGTGTTTAAGCACTGTATTTCTGCTGAGCTGTACATACAAATAAGGCTACACCAATATCACAAACATGTGTAGAATTAAAGTGCAGTAGTGGAGGATTGTCAGTAACTCATACGATCCAAAAGAGTGTTTTAAAGTATTTTTCTTTAATATTGATGTTATAATTTCCAAAATGCACGACCCCTTTTTATCTTCCCAGATAGTATGCCTCGTGGGGTTAAAAAAACAACATTTTCAATTTGTTTAAAAAACGTTCCCGATTGCTGCACTGAAGCAATCTAACAGCACTGTAGCAAAAACAACAACTTTTGACATCTTAGTAAGAGAGACAACATCATAAAATAAGACGACATATATCCAAAGATTCATGGAAAATCTGAATTAAAGCTAGAAAGTAAAACAGAAGAGACATTTGGTTCAGCTTTAACGTCCCCCCTCTCAGAGGAGGACATAACGGAGACATCGCCCACCTGTTCGTCTTTATTCACGCGGGCTAAAAGCTCTTCAAGCTCGTTCGGACCGAACACCTCTCCGGCGTAGAAACCCATCTCCAGTTTGCGTTTGATGGTGGAGTTCCAGTGGTTCTTCACTGCGTTGTCCGTTCTGTGGAAATAAATATTGCAACATGAGCCACTTTGGTAAGATAAGATAAGACTTCATTTATACGGAAAGGTTACAAAAATACAATAAACACAGCAGCACAATAACAATACAACTGTACACTAACCAATTCAATAACTACAAGAAACATAGACGGTCACATAATTAATATTAACAGTATTTATTTATGTCAACCCCAAATCCAACTCTTTATTCCTCTCAAAGACGTGTTGTTTTCAAAGTGATGTGTGTCGTGAACTCTACACCCTGTGTGTTTTGGTTTAGCGACTTTTATTACAGTCACAAGAGCAGAGGTGTGAAGTAGTGGAGTACAAATACTTTGTTACTGTACTTAAGTACATTTTTCTGGTATCAGTACTTTACTCCACTACTTATTTTTCTGACGACTTTTTACTTTTACTTCTTACATGTTGAACACAAATACCTGTACTTTCTACTTCTTACATTTTGAACACTAATACCTGTACTTTCTACTTCTTACATGTTGAACCCAAATACCTGTACTTTCTACTTCTTACATGTTGAACACAAATACCTGTACTTTCTACTTCTTACATTTTGAACACAAATACCTGTACTTTCTACTTCTTACATGTTGAACACAAATACCTGTACTTTCTACTTCTTACATTTTGAACACAAATACCTGTACTTTCTACTTCTTACATGTTGAACACAAATACCTGTACTTTCTACTTCTTACATGTTGAACACAAATACCTGTACTTTCTACTTCTTACATGTTGAACCCAAATACCTGTACTTTCTACTTCTTACATGTTGAACACAAATACCTGTACTTTCTACTTCTTACATGTTGAACACAAATACCTGTACTTTCTACTTCTTACATGTTGAACCCAAATACCTGTACTTTCTACTTCTTACATGTTGAACACAAATACCTGTACTTTCTACTTCTTACATGTTGAACACAAATACCTGTACTTTCTACTTCTTACATGTTGAACTCAAATACCTGTACTTTCTACTTCTTACATGTTGAACCCAAATACCTGTACTTTCTACTTCTCACATTTCCCAAACAGGCTGGTTCCTTTAGTTTGAATGTGTGTTTGGTGACGTGATCATTATTATTTAGAGTCATTGCGTGCCTATTGATTTGAACACGATCCGTGTATCCATCATTTCCTGGTCTTCTCTAAAGAAGAGGGACCAATGAAAACGTTGTCATGTTGCCGTTGTTCAGCATGGAAACATTCATTAGCTAACAATGACATTATTGTTCTATTAATATAAAGGGAGGTCAGGTACTCTTTAAAACAGCTGCTAGTTATGGGTACTTTTTACTGAAGTACATTTCAAAGCCCTCTTTACTTTTACTTGAGTAAAGAAGTTTAGTCAGTACTTCTACTTTCACCAGAGTATCTGTACTTCTACTTGAGTAAAGGATGTGTGTACTTTTACCATCTCTGCACAAGAGACTAAGCAAAATAAGTTTTGACTGATGTAACGTATATTTACCTTCCTGGGAGCAGCTTGGCGATCTCGGCCCAGCGGTTTCCCAGCAGGCAGTGGGCTTTGTAGATAATTAGATCCTCCTCTGCCGTCCATGATGATTTCTTCACGTTGGGGTTGAGGTGGTTGTGCCAGCGCTCTCTGCACTGCTTCCCCAGTCTGCCCTTCAGATGCTTGGCTACCGTGGCCCACTGTTTGTTTCCGTACAGATTCACAAGCTCTATAACCTGAGGAGCGAGGGGTACGAATGTCAATAACATTGTGAATTTAGGTAGGAGGTGCAGGCTTCAAATGTGCCAAGTGGGTTTTCTGCCGCCTCTTTCTGTACTCGATATTATGTGTTATCCGTTATGTTTGAAAATGTTTACATTGTGCAAAAAACAATAATAACCGTAGCAATGGAACATTGTCGTACCTTCTCATCTTCCTCTTTGGTCCAAGGGCCTTTCACCAACTCTGGATCCAAGACTTTAAACCAGCGGTGCTGACACTGGGGTTCACTGTGGTTCTGAACAGGACAAAAACAGGCTTTAAAACACTGACTGAGGCCCTAAAGCAGGGGTCGGCAACAGGCGGACCGCGGTCCGGATCCGGACCCAGACGGACCCGGACCTATAATCAATACATTAATACAGGATTTCAATTTCGACGGGTGATTCTATTTTAACCGCCGCCGACAGGGGGCGAAAGAGACGAGTGAGCGATACAGGGAGAGAAACACAGAAGAAGAGATGAGAGAGCGGCAGAGAGAAGCAGAGAGAAGAGGAGAGGAAAGTGAGTGAAGAGAATAATTAGCGATACAGGGAGAGAAGAGTGAACAGGCGTGTTAGCGGCAGACAGGGAGAGACAAATAATGACACATGGCGCTCTCCAAGAAGAGGAAAGAGGACAGTGAGAACAGAGCTTTTAACCCTGAGTGGACTCATTCATGTTCATCCTGCCCACTGGGAGCACAGAGCCAGTGTGTCTCATTTGTTCAGAGACCGTGGCGCTCATTAAAAGTGCCAAAACGCCACTATGAGACAAAACACAAAGTGTTTGACCAAACATTCCCTCTCAAGTCAGAACTGAGGTCACAAAAAATGAGCAGTCTCAGAGCCCAATATGATCAGCTCGCCAGGATCAAAATTAAAACTAAATATCGTTCCAGCGCAGGCTAACCGAGGCTAACCAATGAGCACCTGCATGTGTATGAGAATGGCCCTGACACCATTTCAGCCCAGATTTGAACTCCTGGCAGGACAAGCTCAAGCTCAATTCTCGCACTGAATTTAAAAGTGCGTGAGGGACTGCAATATAAGAGGGAAAGAAAGAGAAACTTTAAAACTGTTCAATTGTTATGATGTGTAAAGACTGATATGTTCCATAATCGACTGAAACTGTTAAGTCATGATGTGAAACGGTTAACAAAGAAAAAGGGAAACTCAAGCTGCTGCTACACTTTATTTTATTTATCTAAAATTAAGCACTTTTAAGATGCACATATTTTCAAAAGCTATTTTATTTATTTTCTCTATTTTATTTTGAATGCAGCCCGAGAGGAACATTACACATATCCACAGTATTTACTGTATAGTTCAAAGTTAATTGACAATAAATATTATTGTTTATGAATTGTACTTTCTTTATTTGATTGGCAGTCAGTTGTTGATGACATGCAGACGTTGATAAAGCTACAGGCTACTTCAATATATATCACACTAATTCATAAAGCAAGTTAGACATTTTGATGTTCCGGACCTTTGCATGGGGAGATTTTCTCTAACTGGACCTCATTGAGTTTTTGTTGAATACCCCTGCCCTAAAGCGTACAATCAACACAGAAAAGGACCTTCAAACTCACTGGTATGTAGTTGGCAATGTGTTTCCAATCATTAGTCCCCAGCTTTTGAACCAGCGCCTTGAGTTTGTCATCCTGTAAAACAACAAACATGTTTACACTGCCTGTCCTACAGAGACACTGTTTACTTTCACAGGGTCAGGAGATCTGGAGACGACGTGTGAAATGTTGGGACAAGTGTGGACATTCACCTCCTCCTGGGTCCATTTCACCTTCACTTTCCCACCGTCTCCTCGCTCTGCCACGTCAGAATCCGTGTCTTGATGCATGGCTTCCTCACTATCCTCTCTGAAGAGACAAAATGTGTGTTATTTGTGACAATAAAGCTGACAGTAGGAGCAGGAAGTAGCTACTAACCTACCCTGATGGTGGGGAGACTCGATTATCAGGTTTATTGCTATGGTAAGCCAAGGATAGAATAAGTACTCTGATTACTTCTTAAGTAGAAGTAGTACAAAAATATTAGTATTGTTGGGAAAATACTGAATGTACTATTCAAATATCAGCTCACAAGTATTACGAAATAATGTAAGTGCCAAAATGAAAAGTATGCTTAATGCAAAAGGGCCATCTTACGCCCTAGATATTACAAAAATACGTTGTTAAAGTTATTGTTGCATTTATATGGGTTCATCACTTTAATTGTGCACTTGGTAAATGTGAGGTTAATTGGAATTACTTTAATATAGTACTGGATAGCTTAACCAATGATAGTATATTACAATGTCTGTCGATTTATATTGTATATGAACAATCTAAATGGAGTAAAAATCACAAAATGTGCCTACAACATGTAGTGAAGTTAAAGTATGAAGTAGCAGGAAATACAAACTAAAAATACTAAGTAAAAAATAAAAGTACTTTGACATTACAGCTACTGTGGTTAGCTAGCACTTGGCTATGATCTAGTATGCAAACACTGTTGTATAATGTCAGTACAGTATAAGCAATAGTTCCTACTATTACAGACAGATTTATTAGATTTCTGTGATATAACAGATGGCGTTAAATGAAATACTCGACCCTGTTTGCCGGGATTTTCCGCGAAAAAAGGCGGCATATACACAGGAGTCCGTGAAGTACTCACAAGCACAAACATGGAAACCTATCATAGTCAACTTTATGTATTTATTACTGTAATGTCATATTATAACACCAAGTGATACAATTAGTAATCATAGAGCCACTGTTGATCAGGAAAACTAAGATGCACATCTTACCCGCGCGGCCACCGAGACATTTCCCTCTGTTTTTCTGTTGTTTATGATTTGTCCAGCAGCTGCTTCACGACATGTGCATGAATATTTCCCGATATATCCTCGTATTATTCCGCGTTTTTGTTGTCTTTAAGGGGTCTGCCAGTGTCGGTGGTTGGAGGCCCGGTACTGAGGTGTGTTGTTGGATGTAGGGTTGTTGCTTGTGACCAGCTGGAGGAGAGGAGAGCCCGGGGTTTGAGATGCGCGCTCCTGGATTTCTATCTCCCGCCCTTCTCTATGGTAGAAGCCAGGCGATGACGTAGATGCGCATTAGACGTGCGCATAGGTTCGAGCAAGAAGATGGAACGCTTCCGGTGAGGAGCATCAAAATAAAAGTGTGTCCGCCTTACAACAATAAATGGCATTATTATCCTGTCAATGTACAAAGAAAGCAGTCTATGAGAACCCACTTGTATATATTTTATGAAAATGTTGAACATTTAAATAAGTAATTAAAAGCCACAAAGAACACTCGCTTTAGTTGGGAGCTTCAAAATAAAAGTGCGTACTAATATTTAATAAAAGATAAAAAAAAGTGATCACGACTTCTTTAAATCCTGATCTTGTTGCCCTACCAAATGACATTTATTTCTGACCTGAACAGCCTTTTAGCTGCAGTCTCTCTCTCTCTGTGACACCCTGCTGCTCTAATTGTCTCGCATTCCTCCCTCTGAGATTTCTGGCATTTTTTGAGGAACTTAAACTGATGCATACATGCCTGTGGTGAGGTCTGAGGAGCATGTAGAGTTTATATCAGAGGAAAGAAAGCTGCATTTCTGCTACACATTGCAGAGGATCAGTGTTAAATGTATCTGCACCCATCTGTATGCCCTCCTCCCCCCTCCTGCAGACTGATGACCTGTTAAGTCTCCAGCTGGGCCAATTAACAAGCTGCCTCCAGTTTAAAACCCACCTGGAGCTCAGTTGACACTCACTGGCCCAAGGAAACAATGGAAGAAGCTTCTGTCATCAAAGGTAAGAAAACTGCTTTTTATTCTCAAGATACATTCTGATCAGATGATGAGATTCTAAATCAAACCTAACATTTCCTCCAAGATATGAAAAGCTTCGAGTGTCCATCTCCACTGGAGCTTGACAGGGAGTTTTTGGGGGAACAGAGTGGGCTGTCTGCTTTGTCGCTGGATCTTCCAACGTCGAGGGCATCAAACGACACACTGGCTGACGGATCTGACCCCCGACTGTCCATCCTGGCTTCTCTCTGCCTCTCCTCGGACCCCATTTCTCCCTCTCTGGCTCCGACCAACGCTCAAGAATCTGACCGCTGTTACCTGGCCGTGCCTCTGCAGGGAAAGTCCTCCACTCCCTACGAGCTGCTTCTGAAGAAGAAACAGCCTGCTGTGTTGGACCAGTCGTACAGTGACCTCACTGTCTCTCGAATGTCCTGGGATGTGTCCGGTATTACATCTGAAATCAATAGTCCGAGACCCTTCATGGAGTCCAGTGCTCTGGAGGCAACATGGAGTCCAAAACCCCAAATGCAACATTCAGGAGCCGATGTTTCCCCCTGATGTGGCCCACAAAGTCCTTCAGTGAACACACACTTAGTTTTTATCTGCACATGGCTGTCTCTTCTGCTCCATTGAGGATTCATCAAAGTGGAATTTAAAAACCTGTCATGTGAAGGTAAGATGCTCAGTTTGAATAACTTTTAATATTCATCAGCAAAATCTGCAAATCCATGTTCAACTCTTCAAATTCTTTCTTTTACAGGATCCATGTGTGGGGATTTATGAGAGCCCTGTGCCTTATTTACGATGTTTTTAAAGGTTATAATTGAATAAATGTATCCATGACTTTTATTTGCTTCAAAGTGTTTTTTTTCAAAATGAAATGCAATGGAAAGTTATAAAAATATCTTTATACAATATCTTAAACACATCTGTAGCTAGTTGATAGTCCACTACTACAGTTATGGTCCCCCTTTTTTCCTGAACTACATGAACTCATCAGCTTGGTCATGTGACAGGGTGTTGAAAGGCAGAGATGGAATATCTTGAATCCAATCACAACGGAGTGAAAGGCGTGTCTGTGTCGGCATCATGCTCCTGAAAGAGGGAAATTCATTGTTAGACCATCGCTTTCAGAGCATATACTTTTGTGTAAGAGTTGTTAAGTTCTCACCTGATTGAGTTTCTTGAACTCTACCACCTGGAAGAAAATGTGTTCCAGGATGTGCTTGGCATCCCTCTGCTCTTTATCCAGCTTTGGAGTCACCCCCAGAATTTCCCCGCATTTCCGCACATAGAATTCCAGGTCATCATCCGTACCTGTAAACAGAATCTGTTAATACCCAGGGTATATGCAGGAGTCCTGAAGTCAAATTTAATACCTTTAAGACCCTTTCCATACATTTTAAGACCTCATCGCTACTTGGAGTTTTAACCGGTTACCTTGGCGACACACTTTACCTCACATTGACTATATACAGTATTGATTGTCCTTCCTCCTTATCTTCCAACCATTTGGACGCAGACTTGCATTTCCCCATAACGATGTTGTTTAACAACCGGCGTAAACGGACCTTCGCGCGCTATCAAGCAGTGAGCGTGCGATGTCCTGTTCAGATGACGTCAAATCCAACGGGATGCCATAAATAAACTACACAGAATCACACTACACACCTACGCAATGATTACATTCAGGCACACTGTAGAATACAACCTCTTTGGACCATTTATATACTTATAGAAAACAAGCTACAAAATGTAATACCTTGGAAAATGCCGTTTAATACTTTTTAATAGCCTTAATTTTCGCTAACTTGATTTATCAACTTTTAATACTTTTCAAGACCCCGCGGACACCCTGATACCTGATGAATGTAACAGTCCTGTTTTTAATTGGAGTAAATAACTTACATTTATTGGTGAGCTGTGCTAGGCGCACTTTCTCCGAAGAGAATGTTTCATCCAAGTCGAACAGGTCAAGCATCGGGGGAGGCAAGTCGCTTAAGGCAGGTGGAAAGACCTGGAGGACAAGAAAACACACCCATTGTGGAACTCATAACATTTAATTTCCCTTGAAAGACACCTATTCTAAACAGTGAGATATCCAATTATTGTTTTATTAAAGCAGGTTTAGGTGCTATGAAAGAACGCAATGCAAACAGACCATATTCAGTGACTGTGCCTTTAAACAAACTTTGCACCTTAAAGTGGACCTATCATGCTATATTTGAATAATATAGTGTAGGACCATACCTATATAAGGCATATTTATACTTTTTCTTTTCAAAATACCAAACAGATCATGCATTTTAGCCATGCCTCATTTTGCTCAATTTGCACTATTGTAGCCCTGTTTTTGCAAGGGCTGATTCTGTGAGAACAGCACCACCTACAGGCCTGGCTTATGTACTACAGCGCTTTCGAACGGCAATGGCCGTGGCTGTCTCCTCCTGATTGGTGGAGTTGGCCCAATAGCCGTAGCGCCACCGTCCTGACGTCAGGACAGTGTTCAAATCTGGATCAGTTTTTATCAGATCCGTTGCAGCCCCTTTTTTAGAGATTTGGGTATGGAGGAAAATAGAGAGGGTTGTGTTTTCTGACACTTGGTGAGTTCCCTGGAACACCGGGGACACATGTTCATGTAGAAAAGACGTACAAAAGTGCATTTTGCATGATAGGTCCCCTTTAAGATTGTGATGTCAAAACTAGCATTTTAGACAAAGGGGGAATACATTAAGAGAAGGTATGAGAAGAATGTGTTTAATGAGCATTAAAGCATATCAATCTGGTCTAGTAGAACTACATTATGATCTAAAATTAGCATTACATTATAGCATAATATAGCGGTGCAGTGTTAACACTTTTGTTGACCGAACAAGAAGTTGGCATTGCACAAGTTCCAACCACAAAAAGCAATGGGATTTTTCCATTTGCTTTTGTAATTTTGCAGATAATTGTTTTAACGCCACTTTTATATTTTTAGAAGAATAAATGCAATCGCCATAAGTAAAAAGTTAGAATACAAACAACTACATCACAGCATGGCTTTGTCACCATCGCCAAGCTAAAGGCGGCTAATCATCGGTATAATGGCATTTTACCAGTCTCATTCAAATGTCAGCTTCAAATCAATAACCCACTTGATAATCAACTTTTAGCGAGGGAACTGGAAGGGCTACAATGCTGACTCATTCCTGTGCCACTCGACATGCCTCCTTTTAATTTTTCAGTCGTATATGACTTAAGAATTGACCTGCATGTATGGAAAAAATATATCCTATGCACCAAATCAGCAGGACTAAAACTCACAGCGGGTTGGAGCTGAGGCAGCGGCGTCTCAAACTGCGGCGTGATCAGCTGAAGAGGCTCGTCTTTGACATTAAGTTGCTTGTAGGCACTGCGGAAAACATTAACATTCTCTTAAGCTGTGAAGGTAATGAATAGCAAAACTAGGACTGCCTTCTTTTGTGTATTTTGCATTCTCACCTGATGACTTGGGGTAAGGTGTCAGTTGACAAATTGAACAAAGACATATCAAAGAGCGAGGTGAAGTCCCGGGGGTTTTCATCGCCCTCCTGTAAACACACTCTGAGCTGATCTGACAAACACCCTGTGTCCGGCAACATGGTGTAATCTGTGATCTAGGGGACAACATGGATGGCTTATTTTAATAAAAGACAATACAAGTGAGGCCATTCTCTTGTCAAGTATAATGTACTTCCTCACCTCTGGGTCTTCTGCATCGATCTGATTTAGCTGAATATTATCGGCCATGAGCAACTGGAGCAAGACATCCTGGAAGGAAAGTAAGACAGGATATTGTCAGAAATATTTGACAGGTCCACAAAGAGACCCTTCTAATTTGTTACATGACACAAATTATATTAAAATGTCTACTAAACTCACCATGATTTTACTGTTCTCCTCTTTGTCTATGTACTGGTCACTGAACATGTGGCAGGAACCCAACACTACCAGTTTGCCAGCCTCCTGAATAAGACACGAGACATCTTTTAACATCATCTCACAAGTGTACATAATGCTTTAAGGTCTGGGAAGGAGTGTGAAATCTACCTTTCCTTGATGGAAGGCCAGGACGGGTCTGTTGAGGGGGAAGCAGACGGAGCCCGTTGAGAGCAGAGCCACAGCAGGCTTTATCACGCTCAGTGTGGCTCCGTACGGATACACAAATGTGAGAGCCCTGCACAATTAAAGACAGAAAAGTCTGTGTTCAAACCCCCCTTCAAAAACACTCAAATGTGTTTTATTGTAAAAGATAGTAAGTAAATAATTTACTGTGCATTGTTTCCAACTTTTTCATCTTCGATGCTGCCTGTGACCACTTTTCCAGCAGCTCGACTGATCTCTCTAAACAAGAAAAAAGACAATTATGACTTTTGTGATTCAAAACTATCTAAAAGGGAAGAATTGGACGTTTCAAAGTGGGGTTGTACGAGGTACTCATCCATAATCAAGTGTATTTCCTTCAGTGAATAGCGGTTGGTGTGCCTGTTGAGATCTTAATTTAAAAGGTTAGCATTACACAAGTTACCTCATAAAACCTCCTAGACGTGATGCGTGATTTGAGGATATTTACGTCATACAACCACACTTTAAATACTACAAACTACTTTTTTAGTACATTTAGTACATTTAGTACAACTAAGTTTGAAAACATATAAACATACAACAAACACGCAACAAAAAATCACTGATTTGTTTCAACAAACCTGTTCAGTACACCATTGGACACAAGCGCCTCCTTAGGGTGGAAGTATTTGTAATACACATTCCTCACAACAGCATCTGCAGCAGTGATGAAGAGAAAACAGATACCACAGAATGAAAATCAATTCAAACAAAAGTACCCATAACTGCATAAATGATGTCATTTCAACACATTTAAATATGCACCATTGTTGACCATTATCCCAAACTCCTCCAGAAGAAAGTTGATGTTGGTGTCATATTTCATTTCTCCTCCTTCACCGAGCATGACCAGGACGTTTCCTCCTGCGTCCAGGTAGTGTTTCAGCACCTCCAGCTGAAAGGAAATGGGACAACACTCTGAACACATGCCTATGTGTGCAGGAAATAAAATGAGTGTACAAAATGTCAATGATGAGGTGATTGTGGCTTCCCATCTCCCACGCCAACATGTTTGTTTTCCCTTTAAAACACCTATGATAGTTGTTCTCTCTTTCGGTACCTCTGATGCTGTGAACTTCTCCCTGGGACCTGCAGTTATCCACAGTTTGACGCCCTTCAGCTTCTCCAGAGACAGTTCTTCCTTCAAACTGGGGGTGACAGCATTTATTTCACTACTGAGTGTTTTTCTCAAGATTATTGCAATACAATTCATTTTTTTATATATTAAGCCAAAGCCAGTAGCCCAAGACAACAGAGATGGTTATTGATAAACAAGCAACATTACCTTTGGATTTTCCATTGAGCTCTTAGTCTTTTTTGCATGGTTTTGTATCCATTATTCGTAGTAAACAGCTCTCTCTTCGAGACATTGAAGACGACAGTGTTGTGCTGTTCCTTCTCCATTCTTCTTTATTATGATTCACTCACCGAAATAGGCTCTTAATAGCATCCATACAACCTAGAAACAGGTTGTAACTCCAAGTTAGATCAACTAGAAGTACGTATAAACTGCCCTCGATATATTTGCTATCTTAGCTAACTATGCATTGAGTTAACAGGTTTACTCGCTAGCTATATATGACATTTAGGTAAATAATCGACCAATATTAACTTGATAAAGTTGTAGTAACGTTAGTAGGTCCCTGAAATAACCGTAGCTAGCATACTGTTAGCAACAAAGCTAGCTCCTTCAATGTTATGTT